CATCCATTTCCCTTTGCCCATCCCCCCATCCATTTCCCATTGCCCATCCCCTCATCCATTTCCCATTGCCCATCCCCCCATCCATTTCCCATTGCCCTTCCCCCCATCCATTTCCCATTGCCCATCCCCCCATCCATTTCCCATTGCCCATCCCCCCATCCATTTCCCATTGCCCATCCCCCCATCCATTTCCCATTGCCCATCCCTCCATCCATTTCCCATTGCCCATCCCCCCATCCATTTCCCATTGCTCACCCCCCCATTCATTTCCCTTTGCCCATCCCCCCATCCATTTCCCTTTGCCCATCCCCCCTTCCATTTCCCATTGCCCATCCCCCCATCCATTTCCCATTGCCCATCCCCCCATCCATTTCCTATTGCCCATCCCCCCATCCATTTCCCATTGCCCTTCCCCCCATCCATTTCCCATTGCCCATCCCCCCATCCATTTCCCATTGCCCATCCCCCCATCCATTTCCCATTGCCCATCCCCCCATCCATTTCCCATTGCCCATCCACCCATCCATTTCCCATTGCCCATCCCCCCATTCATTTCCCATTGCCCATCCCCCCATCCATTTCCCATTGCCCATCCACCCATCCATTTCCCATTGCCCATCCCCCCATTCATTTCCCATTGCCCATCCTCCCATCCATTTCCCTTTGCCCATCCACCCATCCATTTCCCTTTGCCCATCCACCCATCCATTTCCCATTGCCCATCCCCCCATCCATTTCCCATTGCCCATCCCCCCATCCATTTCCCATTGCCCATCCACCCATCCATTTCCCATTGCCCACCCCCCCATTCATTTCCCATTGCCCATCCCCCCATCCATTTCCCTTTGCCCATCCCCCCTTCCATTTCCCATTGCCCATCCCCCCATCCATTTCCCATTGCCCATCCCCCCATCCATTTCCCATTGCCCATCCCCCCATCCATTTCCCATTGCCCATCCCCCCATCCATTTCCCATTGCCCATCCACCCATCCATTTCCCATTGCCCATCCCCCCATTCATTTCCCATTGCCCATCCCCCCATCCATTTCCCTTTGCCCATCCCCCCATCCATTTCCCATTGCCCATCCCCTCATCCATTTCCCATTGCCCATCCCCCCATCCATTTCCCATTGCCCATCCCCCCATCCATTTCCCATTGCCCATCCCCCCATCCATTTCCCATTGCCCATCCCCCCATCCATTTCCCATTGCCCATCCCCCCATCCATTTCCCATTGCCCATCCCCCCATCCATTTCCCATTGCCCATCCCCCATCCATTTCCCATTGCCCATCCCCCCATCCATTTCCCATTGCCCATCCCCCATCCATTTCCCATTGCCCATCCCCCATCCATTTCCCATTGCCCATCCCCCATCCATTTCCCATTGCCCATCCCCCCATCCATTTCCCATTGCCCATCCCCCCATCCATTTCCCATTGCCCACCCCCCCATTCATTTCCCATTGCCCATCCCCCCATCCATTTCCCTTTGCCCATCCCCCCTTCCATTTCCCATTGCCCATCCCCCCATCCATTTCCCATTGCCCATCCCCCCATCCATTTCCCATTGCCCATCCCCCCATCCATTTCCCATTGCCCATCCCCCCATCCATTTCCCATTGCCCATCCCCCCATCCATTTCCCATTGCCCATCCCCCCATCCATTTCCCATTGCCCATCCCCCCATCCATTTCCCATTGCCCATCCCCCCATCCATTTCCCATTGCCCATCCACCCATCCATTTCCCATTGCCCATCCCCCCATTCATTTCCCATTGCCCATCCCCCCATCCATTTCCCTTTGCCCATCCCCCCATCCATTTCCCATTGCCCATCCCCTCATCCATTTCCCATTGCCCATCCCCCCATCCATTTCCCATTGCCCATCCCCCCATCCATTTCCCATTGCCCATCCCCCCATCCATTTCCCATTGCCCATCCCCCCATCCATTTCCCATTGCCCATCCCCCCATCCATTTCCCATTGCCCATCCCCCCATCCATTTCCCATTGCCCATCCCCCATCCATTTCCCATTGCCCATCCCCCCATCCATTTCCCATTGCCCATCCCCCATCCATTTCCCATTGCCCATCCCCCATCCATTTCCCATTGCCCATCCCCCATCCATTTCCCATTGCCCATCCCCCCATCCATTTCCCTTTGCCCATCCCCCCATCCATTTCCCATTGCCCATCCCCTCATCCATTTCCCATTGCCCATCCCCCCATCCATTTCCCATTGCCCTTCCCCCCATCCATTTCCCATTGCCCATCCCCCCATCCATTTCCCATTGCCCATCCCCCCATCCATTTCCCATTGCCCATCCCCCCATCCATTTCCCATTGCCCATCCCCCCATCCATTTCCCATTGCCCATCCCCCCATCCATTTCCCATTGCCCATCCCCCCATCCATTTCCCATTGCCCACCCCCCCATCCATTTCCCATTGCCCATCCCCCCATCCATTTCCCATTGCCCTTCCCCCCATCCATTTCCCATTGCCCATCCCCCCATCCATTTCCCATTGCCCTTCCCCCCATCCATTTCCCATTGCCCATCCCCCATCCATTTCCCATTGCCCATCCCCCATCCATTTCCCATTGCCCATCCCCCATCCATTTCCCATTGCCCATCCCCCATCCATTTCCCATTGCCCATCCCCCCATCCATTTCCCATTGCCCACCCACCCATCCATTTCCCATTGCCCATCCCCCCATCCATTTCCCATTGCCCACCCACCCATCCATTTCCCATTGCCCATCCCCCCATCCATTTCCCTTTGCCCATCCCCCCATCCATTTCCCATTGCCCTTCCCCCCATCCATTTCCCATTGCCCATCCCCCCATCCATTTCCCATTGCCCATCCCCCATCCATTTCCCATTGCCCATCCCCCATCCATTTCCCATTGCCCATCCCCTCATCCATTTCCCATTGCCCATCCCCCCATCCATTTCCTATTGCCCATCCCCCCATCCATCCCCACTTGCCCTTTTCCCCACCCATTCCCCCTTGCTCATTGCCCGACCCATTCAACGCCCATAGTCTGAGTTGAGTAGAAAAACCAGCCACATATTGCCACCCCCCCGAGCAAGTCACAGTGTCAGTGTGGGCTTGCACCGCTGGCTCCGTGGGGCTTCATTCTCAATCACTCCCATGGTGCTGTTGCAGGGTGTTTTTGAGAATTCTCGAAAAACATATTCCCCCCCCTGCAAGTCACAGTGTCAGTATGTGGCTCCGTGGGGCTCCATTCTCAATCATTCCCACCGTTTTGCACCGCTGCAGCACCCCCACGCTCCCTAGGGTGCCCTTGAGTCACACCCACCCACCATAGCGCACCTTCTACTGAACGCACCTGGTGTCAAAGATCACCCTGTTATCTCACAGCACGTGAATGAAAGACGTCTAAAAAATTCACCTCATTCACGTGGCTATCCACACCCATCCACCACAGTGCAACCTCTGTGGGTGTCAAAGGTCACCCTCTTATCTCACACTCACAGCAACCCACCACGGCACACCTTTTACCAACTCACCCACCGGTGTTAGCTGTAGCACCCGCAACTCCTTGAGTGCTTCCCTTGATGTAAGCACACAGTGGGGCGTCGGGTTGCTACAGCCAACCGCCCATCCACCTCTCACATTCTCCCGTGCACATACCCCCACCCCACCCATTCCGCTAACCGCATTCCCCATTCCCCCTTTTCCCACGTGGGAGATGGGTGGTTTGTGTGCTGGGAATCTTCCTCTTTCCGGCAAACGAACCACACATCCTGTGTTGCAGAAGACGCACATTTAGACGCAAGACGCATGGGGTGTTTTTTTCCGGTCTGACCGAAAAAAAAAATTGCCCGCGCGCGAATTCGACATTGGCCATTTCGACGCCAAGGTCGAAATCGCGAAATCCCCCCCCCCCCCCCCCAAACGAAATCGACCGTCAAAACCAGCCCAAAACCCTAAAACGGAAACCCCCCCTACCAAAATTTACGCCACATCCTACTCAACCGCACAAGATCTACTCAACCCAACCACAATTGCATACCACCAAGAGTATATTGGAGCACAAGAGCTTCATTTGTGCTCCTCCACTTTAGTTCAACCAAATTCTCCTCGGAAAACCCTAAGGGGTTTAGCTCTTAGTAGACCTAACTTATGGCTTCTCCTAGTTCTTCCTCCATCTCCTTGTATGTGACGTGGTGAAACTTCTCCTAAGGGGGAAAACACTTGGTACGGGAAAAAATTTGGCTGAAATGAAAATTATGTAACCCCCCCCCCCCCCCCTCCCCCATGCCCCATTAGGGTTTTTTTTGGGCCTGCCCGAACCTTTTTTTGGTCTGCCCGGGCTTGCGTCTGTATCTGCGTCTAAAAGGGCCCAAAAATGCGTCTTCTGCAACACAGCACACATCTCCCACCTTCATCCTGGCTTGCGTATTCCCACATTGACCCATGCTGGTGCGGTGACCCATGCAGGTGCGGTGACCCATGCAGGTGCGGTGACCCATGCAGGTGCGGTGACCCATGCAGGTGCGGTGAGCCATGCAGGTGCGGTGAGCCATGCAGGTGCGGTGAGCCATGCAGGTGCGGTGAGCCATGCAGGTGCGGTGACCCATGCAGGTACGGTGACCCATGCAGGTACGGTGACCCATGCAGGTACGGTGACCCATGCAGGTACGGTGACCCATGCAGGTACGGTGACCCATGCAGGTACGGTGACCCATCCAGGTACGGTGACCCATGCAGGTACGGTGACCCATGCAGGTACGGTGATCCATGCAGGTACGGTGATCCATGCAGGTACGGTGACCCATGCAGGTACGGTGACCCATGCAGGTACGGTGACCCATGCAGGTACGGTGACCCATGCAGGTGCGGTGACCCATGCAGGTGCGGTGACCCATGGCACCTGTATTGAGCCCCATCCCCATGTATGTGCCATGGCTTTACGTGGCAGCGAGCTGCAGTTGCTGCTGTTCATGTTGGAACAAGAACAAAGCATGTTATCTTTCTGGTAGAAGAAACGCTTGTGTAACGACGAGTTGATGCTGCCACGTTGCAACAGCACCTTCAGCCTTGAGCATGAGCATGAGCATGAGCATGAGCATGAGCATGAGCATGAGCATGAGCATGAGCATGAGCATGCCCAAGCCACACACCTTCTTGCCCCGTTCACCCACTCTACCCCCACTCGCCCTGTCCCCACCCTTCCTACCACCACCCCACCCAACTCTCACCTTCGGTAACACTCTTGGAGAGCCACTGCGCTACAGCATCTTCAGCATCTTCAGCGGATGCATGCCCAAGCCACACATCTCTCTTGCAACAGCAACGCAACAACGTATCCCGTGCCCCTCTCCGACCCACACTCCATCCACAACTCACCCTCACGTTGCTTGCAGGTGGGTTTTGAGAATTCTCCGTATTACCACCTGCCAGCAACCTTCCCCACCCCTCACACATCAGCACCTTCACCCTTGCTCGCGGAGTGCCACACAGTTGCAGCGCTCCCAGAGTCGGCAGCACCCCCTCCCCTGCGATTTCATCTCGCAGCACCGGATCCTCTGCCAGCATCAGCAGCGCCTCCACCGCATCCTCCTTGCCCCTCTCCGACCCACACTCCATTGCCTCCACCAATAGCGGTATCCCACAGAGCACACACACAGCATGCTTCCATGCCATGACCAGACCTCACAACCCTCACTCTTTCAGCCACTCACCTTCACTCGAGCCCTTGGTGTCCCACACCGTTGCAGTGCCCCCAGTGTAGGCAGAACACCCTCAGCAGCGATCTCATCCCTCAATGCCGGGTCCTCAGCCAGCATCAGCAGCGCCGCAACAGCGTCCTCTTTCCCTCTCTCCGACCCACACTCCATAGCCTCCACCAATAGCGGTATCCCGCCCGCCGCCCGGATCGCCGCCCGCCCCAGCCGCCCGGTTTTCCCCAGGTTCACCAGCACAGCCGTGGCTTTTTCCTCCAGCCCGGACCCGTACTCCTGCAGCATTTCCACCAATAGGGGAACTGCCCCGGCGGAAATTATTGCTGCCCGGTTTTTCTCGGCCAATGAGAGGTTGAAGAGGGTCAGGGCAGCGTCTTTTCGGCTGCGGATGGAGTTGGGGGAGCCGGAGGGGGAGGAGGAGACGGCGAGCATGGCAACCAATCCCGTCACGGCACCTGGCGTCGACCCCACCAGGATTTTATTCGCTTCGGACGACGCCGAGATCGCAAAGAGGGCCGCAGCGGCGTTTTCCCGGGCGGTTCGGGAGACGGAGCGAGGCGAGAGGCTCGGCGGCATGTCCGGGTCTGCCGCCCCGGTGTTCATGCCCGTGTCTCTGTTGCCAGCTGTCACTATAGTCACGAGACGGGGGATAGCGCCGTGGGAGATGAGATGGGAGTGAGTGGAGGAGGAGAGAGAGAGGTTGAGAATGGCGGTAACCGCGTGCTCTACAGTATCGGGATCCCCGCATGGGAAGAGAGAGAGCAGGGCCGGGATGGCCCGCCCCCCCGCTGCTGCCACCACGGCTGCCCGGTTGCCTCGGGAGTCCCGAACCAGGTGCCGAACCTCCTCGGCCGCCCTGCGCCGCTGTATGGTTAGGAACGTTGAAGGCGCCTCGGTGCCGACGCTGCTGCCGCCCGCACTGCCGCCCAACATTTGCCGAATTAGGTCCGGAAGCCTGGCCCGAACCTGTTCCTCCTGGTCCACCCGAGCCGCAGCTGCATCTGCTTCGGAAACCGCCGAGCCTGTTCCACCCGCTCCTGCACTGCACGGCCTCCTGCTGCTGCTGCTGCTGCTGCCACCCCCACTGCCACCCACACTCCCACTGCCACCCACACTGCCACTGCTGCTCATACTGCCGCCAGACCTATCAGTGGGGTTAGTAGCCCACCGCTTAAGCGTCCCTGCTGCGCCGTCCTCCTCCTCCTCCCCGTCCTCCCCCTCCTCCGCCTCCCCATCCCCCCGCGCGCCCATGGGCGCGCACCCCACCGACCCCCCGCCCCCCCTGCTCCCCAGCATCATTACCGCCGCGCTGGCGTTCAGATTCGGATTCAGATCCGGATCTAGCCCCGGATTTAGATTTAGATTCGATTGTGGATGCGCGTTTGGGGGGGGACTGGCGCCGAAGGTGACGGCGGCGGCGGCAGCAGCGAGGGGGGAAGCGAACGCGGAGAGCGACGAGTGGCTGTGGCTGTGCGAGTGGTGCGTCTGCCGAATGCCCTCCCCGCCCCGCGCACTACGCGCCGCGTGCCCTCCCCCGCCCCCCCCAGCGCCGCTACCAGCAGCGCCGCTGCTGCTGATCCCCGCAAGTTGCGGCGAGGAGAGGCGGTTCGACGAGACCGACCTGCCATACGCGATTCTAGCGTCTCTGCTTCCGGAGCTAGCGCCGCCAGCACCACCAACAGCCATTGGCGCGGAGCTGGGGACGAGCGACACGGGCTCGCCCATGCTGTAGCTTTTCCCCGCATTGCTCAGCGCGTTCCGCCCGCCCCCGCCCCCGCCCCCGCCCCCGCCCCCGCCCCCTCCCCCTCCTCCCCCGCTACCGCCGCCGCCGCCGCTGCTGCCGCTCCTGCTGTGCGCCAAATACGCCAAAACCTGCTGGCTGCTCCTCTCCCGCTCCCTCTCCCGTTCCCGCTCGCGCTCCCTTTCCCTCTCTCTCTCCCGCTCCCGCTCCCCCTCTCGCCCGCCGCCGCCCCCCTCCGCGTCGCTGTCGTCGTCCCACGCCGCAAGCAGCGCCAGCTGGTGCCGGTCGAGCCGCTCCGAGAAGAACCGCTGCTGCGCCGCTGCCACCACCTGCTGCTGCTGGCTGCTTCCGCCGCCCCCGACGCCCCCCTGGGCCCCCGCCCGCGCACCTGCTCCGCCAATTCCCCCACCCGCCGGCCCTAGAGCCCCCCGCCCGCTGGGCCCCACTTTCCCGCCGGCCGATTTCCCCCCTCCCGCTCCCCCTCCTCCTCCTGACCCCGCCCGGCCTCCCCCCGCTGCCGCAGCCCCGCCGGTTCGCGACGCTTGGCGCGGCTGCGGCCCGGACCAGTCGACGCGGCGCGGCTGCGGGCCGCTCCACTCGTCGCGGCCCGGGTAGTGGTTCCAGTCGTTCCACGAGTCGTGCGCGCCGTCGCCCGCGCCGAGATACGCGGGCAGCGGACTGAGCGGCGCGCGCGTGGGGCTCAGCTGCATGGAGCTAGTGGGGCTGTGCGCGGCGCCGCGGTGCGTCGGACTAACAGCGGGGTAAGTCGGACTAAAGCCGGGATGCGTGGGGCTAAGCAGGGGGTTGCTGCTACCGCCGCCAGGTAAGGCGGAGGAGGGACTGAGCGCCGCGCCGGCGCGGGTGGGGGAGTGCGTGGGGGAGGCGAGCGGGGACGACACGGGCCAGATGGGGCAAAGCGGACGATCGGAAGACGACGCGCTGCGCCAGAAATTATTTCCGCTGGTTCCGGTTCCGCCTCCCCCTCCGCCTGCTCTCCCGCCGCCCCCGCCGCTGCTGGCGCTGCTGTTCGACACGATGCTGATGCTGCCGCTGCTTGCGCCGCTGGTGGTGCTGCTTCCGCCGCTGCTGAGGTTTCCGCTTTCCCGGTCGGATGACACGCTCCCGCGCCGCTGGTGCCGCTCCCCCGAGGCTGGGCGGGCGGAGTAAGGCTCCGCGTGGCGCTCCCCCGACAGCGGGCGCGCGGACCTTTGAGACGCCTCGTAGCTGTCCCCAGTCAGGGGCCGCGCGGGGAATGACTCCCCGCGCGATGCGGAGCGCTCGGCGCGCGGGTTCTGGTCCGCACGCTGCTCTCCGCGGGCACTGTACGAGTCGCTGCGGGGGGTCAGCACCCCGCGCGGGGAAATGGTGGGATGCGCGGAGCCCGCGTCCCCGCCAGGCTTTCCGCCACCGGCATTTTGAGTAAGTTCTCCGCTGTTACCCTTTGCGTGCCCTCCTCCACCGCCGCCGCCGCCGCCGCCGCCGGCGGAGGGGGTGGGAGAGAGGCGAATGCCGTGTCCGAGGCACCAGGCGGAAATGATGCTGCGAAGAGATTTGTTGGGGGCGACATGCAGCTCCTCGAGCGCGCAGCGAGTAACCGGACAGTAGCGATTTCCTTCGCGAAACCATCGCTCGATTTCGGCGCGCTCGTAGGTCCGCCCCGACGCGACGGTGACCGGGTCGCGCATGATGTCGAGCGAAATGGGGCAGAAGAAATCCGCGGGGATGGTGACATTCTTGGCGCGGAGATGTGAGATGGGGTATTTGAGGAAAGAGGGCGGAAGGGAGGCGGGGTCGGCGGAGGGCGACTGGAGCCGTGCGACGAGCTGGTTGTGCGACTGTAACTGCTGCTTCGGCGACATCGCGCGCGTTGGAGAAAGCGGCGCGTTGGCTTGTTGAGAGGCCATGGCGAAACGAGGCGGTGACGGCGAATTCGATGGGTACAGGAGGTGTTACCAGTCGACTTTCGAGTGGACTCAAAAGATAGCAAGAGGTGATACCAGTCCCGCAATGCGGAGTCAGCGCGGATTTTAGTCAGCCGCCTATACCACGGAGGCTTTGAGGCGGCTCGGAGCGGGCACTGCGACGAACAATCCCGTGAATGAAGGTCACCTGGTGAATAAGAGTTGAAGAGAGCTACAAGAGCCGACCGGCATTGTAATTGCGGGCTGGACCGGCTCTACCCTGCATCAGGCAGGTCCGGCTGCGAGTGGGCGTGCTCTGGAACGTAAGGTAATGTCGAAATAGGGTTACATACTATGTCGGAGTCTGAACCGCTACCCTTCGTAACTACTATGCGAGCGACGGTTAAAGATCGTCTGACTCGTGAGGTTCGTTGCTGAAGTGAAGGGAGCGACGATAGTGACCAACCGGCATTGACAAGCTTTCTATCAGGGAAACGAAAGAAGCCAAAGCGAACGCAAGGTAGTGCTGCCTGTCCACTCCATAGCACAACACCATGTTTGACAGCTGTTTGCTCCCATAAAGCGTGTGTTAAAGCACACTGAATCTGAAGCGCTGTTCAGCGCTCGGTTTGGAAGGAATCTCGTTACAAAATGCTGTTGTCTCGTCCAATTTGTTGAAATGTACATATCACTTCTGTGGATGGATTGAAGTACCCAAGGTGAAATGCCTCCTCCTCGCAGAAGCTTGAGACTGGCGAGCCCTCGCATTCAAAGGTCAAGGTTTGGAATAATGTGCAGGTGATGCAACTGTCAGAGACCAATCGGGAGTAACGAAGGGAGGAGATTTAGAACAGTAGGTACATTGCGGTGTGAACAGATATTGCGCTGGAAATTTTGAAATCTGTGGGGTTCGTTGCTGCAACAAGGTTCGTCGGGGCTACTTTGTCTTCTTCCCCAACCTGCGCGCACATTTGTCCGAAGTCTTGACATCCACTCTCTCTACCTTTATGCGGCTTGCTCTTTCTGTACCCTTTCCCTCCCACCACCGCAGGGTGGGGGGTCAATCTGTCCAGTACACTCAACCCTAGACGACCTACGTTTCACCCGTTAACCCAGCAAATCTGGTGTCGCTGCGCACATCTGTTCCCGAGTTGCTCATGTCGACTCAATTTTGCAACATTTTTGCAAGGTGGGGACCTCGTTTCATTGTGCCCACCCACGTGACAGCGAAACTCGTCATAAATTATTATATTTTGTTCTACCCGCGTAGTCGCCAAAGACTGCCAAAATCATGGCTGCCCGTGTTGGCAACAAAACGTAACGAAACGAAGACTGCCATGAGACGGAACGGAACGAACTTGGTCACCCTGTAAATCTGATGCCAAAAACCAGTGGAAACTCAGAATCGCAATGCTGCACTGAGTACTGTCTGGTCTATGAGCAACAAATTCTGTACGCGTACCTGAACCTTGAAGAAGAAACAAGTGTAACTGGTTTGGCACAATGCTGGAAGCGCAGCACTGCACTGTATCAGGCTGGTTGTGTCGCTGGTCTGCCCGTATCGGCAACTATTGGTCAGCAGATACTTCACTTCACCAGCCCGACTTGGAAGAGGACAAGCTTAAAGATACATTTTCAAGGAACAAGGAGTTGAGGCTGGACAAAAGACATTTTACCTGGCACAGAATCAAATTGCGCTTCTCGCTAACCACGTTGCCGTTACACGTTGAATTTTCCCGCCAACTCGAATGGTGATGAATTTGCTTGGTGTACACGGGCTTCACGCTGACGTGGCTGCATTGATAGCGCTTGATTGGTTTCGGTTGGTCAATGAGTACTCTGCTAGACAAATCCCGCGAACCAGAAAGGAGGTGCCTCCCGTGGACAGTGTGTACAACGCTAAATCTCGCGAATCTAAATCATGGTAACACTTCTATATTTACATATATCCTGTTTGTGAAAGGGCATTAGCGCATGGGAAGCATGGCTAATTCTTCAGGCCTAAAACGACTAGAACTAGCTGTACAAACCACAAATTCATGAGCGCTTTCACAAGGTTCTCATTAAACGGGCTACCAGGAGGGTATCGAACCGGGAAGTCAAGAAGGGTGCCTTTAACCATGACCGCCTTGCGATGGCTGAAGCAATCAAAGGAATGCTTCCCATGATAGCTGCCCATGCCACTGTCTCCCACTCCACCGAATGGCAACGCTGGATTGACAAACTGCAAAGCCAATATGAGTCGTGCAATTGAAAGCATCGGCTGATTGAAATGATTTTGGAGGTGAGTTGGAGCAATGAACACATAGGCAGAAACAGGAGCACATGGGCGTGCGAAAGGAAAAGAAGCAGGAGCACTGGTACAAGAGGAGTGGAGGAGCAGGATAGCGAAGGGAGGGAACATTGGACCATTGGAAAAGGGATAAGGTATCCTTGTCAATAAGTTGTATCTTAAGACATTGCTCTTACCTGCATTTTTGGTATCAGTCTCTCAACATAATTTTCACAGGAAAGAAGACAATGGAGACATTTCAAAAGGGAGCAAGGCTCACATGAGAGGTGGTGTCGTTGACACAGACAGCCGATGACAAGGTCACCTTGACAAAGCGGTCAATAAGTTACATCCTTGACATTGTTCTCACAAGGGAAAAATACTCACATGCAAGATGGTGTCGTTGACACAGACAGCCGACAACGAGGTCTCCTTGACAAAGCGGTCAATCGGCTGTACCCAGCTCTCCAGGCAGTGCCTCGTATGAGAGGTGGTGCCGTTGGCGCACACAGCCCCCCGAGGAGGTTTCCTTGACAAAGCAGTCGATAAGTTACATCCTTGACATTGTTCTCACAAGGGAAAAACACTCACATGAGAGGTGGTGTCGTTGACGCAGACAGCTCCCGAGGAGGTCTCCTTGACAAAGCGGTCGATGACGGTGCTGTGCGTTGTGAACAGGTACAGCGCCAGTGGCTTGGGCCGGCTGGCGATGATGTCGATCGCCTCGTCCACACCTCGCACCTGGAGGGAGCCGTATTTGCGAGGGGAGGGAGGATGGGTGTGATAGTGATGATTAGAGACGGATGGGCTTGGAGTAGGTGGCTTGCGATGATGCTTATTGCCTCGTCCACACCTCGCACCTGGTGGGATGGGGGGATGACGCCTGCCCAGAGGGGAGAGAGGATAGGTGGGTGTGATAACATGTGATGCCGATAATCAGCGCCAGAGGCTTGGCGTGGCTGGAGATGAGGTCTGTGGCCTAGCCCATGCCCTGCACCTGGTGGGAATGTTATTCCGGAGGGGAGAGGGGATGGGCCTGATACTGGTAAAGAGCAACAGAGGGTTGGAGGAGGCAGCTGGCGATGATGTATACTGCCGTGTTCACGTTGCACAGCAGGACTTTTGAGGCGCCTCTACGGTCGCTGCACACTTACAAGGGGAGAGAGGACGGGCCGATATGAATAGAGAATAACATGGCTTGCAAGGAGGGGGCTTGCAAGGAGGGGGCTTGCAAGGAGGGGGCTTGCAAGGAGGGGGCTTGCAAGGAGGGGGCTTGCAAGGAGAGGGGCTGGCGATTGTGCCAACCGCCTCATGCCCACCTCACCTCACATCTGGAAGTCAATGGGGAGAGGGAGAATTGGTGGACGCTTTGAGAGTGGATGCAGCGTGAACTGAAGTGGGAGAGAGAAAGTGAAGTGGCTTCAGCGCAATTGCGACCCCGTCCGGAGGAACTTGCCACGTCCGGCCAGGAAGGGCCAGGAGCGGAGCGGAGCACTGCGCACACCTTAAGGACAGTGATGATGGGCCCAAAGCCCTCCTCCTCCATTATGCATGCACCGGGCAGCACCGCACAGCACCTATGCACACACCTTAATCACGGCAATGACAGGCCCAAATCCCTCCTCCTGCATCACTGGTGCGTCCAGAGGCACATCTCGTATGATGGTGGGCGCCACGTAGCTGGTGGGGGACAAGGTGGGGTGGGGGGATGAGGGGAGTGGGTGGGATTGAGAGGGGGAGCAAGGCACGTGTCGAGGGGCACATTGCAGATGATGGTGGGGGCGATGTAGCGGGTGGAGGGGTTGGAGTTGGAGGTGGGGGTGTGCGGGAGGTTGTGGGAGGGGATGGAAATGAGGAGGATCAAGGCATGCGTGGAGGGGATGGAAATGAGGAGGATCAAGGCATGCGTGGAGGGGATGGAAATGAGGAGGATCAAGGCATGCGTGGAGGGGCAGTGGGCACGCCAGGAATGATGGTGGGGGCGATGGGGTTGGGGGTAGGGGTACGGGGAAATTCGTGGGAGGGGATGGGAATGAGGGAGAGCACGTGTCGAGTGGCACATGATGGATAATGGTGGGCGCCATGTAGCTGGTGTTGGGGGGGGGGGGGGGGGGGGGAGGGGCCATGTAGCTGGCATTGTGGGGGTGGGGAAGGGGCCATGTAGCTGGCATTGTGGGGGTGGGGAAGGGGCCATGTAGCTGGCATTGTGGGGGTGGGGAAGGGGCCATGTAGCTGGCATTGTGGGGGTGGGGAAGGGGCCATGTAGCTGGCATTGTGGGGGTGGGGAAGGGGCCATGTAGCTGGCATTGTGGGGGTGGGGAAGGGGCCATGTAGCTGGCATTGTGGGGGTGGGGAAGGGGCCATGTAGCTGGCATTGTGGGGGTGGGGAAGGGGCCATGTAGCTGGCATTGTGGGGGTGGGGAAGGGGCCATGTAGCTGGCATTGTGGGGGTGGGGAAGGGGCCATGTAGCTGGCATTGTGGGGGTGGGGAAGGGGCCATGTAGCTGGCATTGTGGGGGTGGGGAAGGGGCCATGTAGCTGGCATTGTGGGGGTGGGGAAGGGGCCATGTAGCTGGCATTGTGGGGGTGGGGAAGGGGCCATGTAGCTGGCATTGTGGGGGTGGGGAAGGGGCCATGTAGCTGGCATTGTGGGGGTGGGGAAGGGGCCATGTAGCTGGCATTGTGGGGGTGGGGAAGGGGCCATGTAGCTGGCATTGTGGGGGTGGGGAAGGGGCCATGTAGCTGGCATTGTGGGGGTGGGGAAGGGGCCATGTAGCTGGCATTGTGGGGGTGGGGAAGGGGCCATGTAGCTGGCATTGTGGGGGTGGGGAAGGGGCCATGTAGCTGGCATTGTGGGGGTGGGGAAGGGGCCATGTAGCTGGCATTGTGGGGGTGGGGAAGGGGCCATGTAGCTGGCATTGTGGGGGTGGGGAAGGGGCCATGTAGCTGGCATTGTGGGGGTGGGGAAGGGGCCATGTAGCTGGCATTGTGGGGGTCAGAGTTGGGCCAAAGATTAGCGGAGAAGAAGGGGTTGAGAGCGGGAGCAGGGCAACATGGGGAGAAGGGGAGGAGCGGAGAAGAAAGGGGGCGGATAAGGGGATGAAAACATGGGGAAGAAAGACGATCCTGCAGGACTTCTACTAGCCACACTTCCTTCCCCCCAGTTCCCCAATTCTTTCTCATTAGCCACACGTCCCGCTTCCTACTTCCCCCATTCCCCCAGTATCTGTGCATTGTTAATTTCTGAGTCGACTTCGAAATCACCTTTTGCTGACAGATCCAATCACACAGGAACACATAGTTGATTTCGGACTCGACCCAGAAATCAACTATGTGCTTCTGTGTGATTGGAACCGCCAGCAACGCGTGCAGCCGCGCCCAGCTGGCACATGCGCCTTGCACCTTTATCACCCCCTCCTTCCCCCCCCACTAGCCCGAATGCACACACACACGCACCAGGCAGCCTCTTCAGTCTCCCCTCCCACGACTATGCGCTCCCTCGTGACAGGGTCGAACAGCAGAGCGTGCAGCCGAGCCCAGCTGGCCCATGTCTCTTACACCTTAATCTCCCCCCACTATCCTGGATGCACCCACAGACCAGGTGGCCTCGTCCGTCTCCCCCCCAACGACTATGTGCTCCCGCGTGGCCAGGTCGGACATCAAGCCGTGCAAGCGAGCCCAGCTGGCCCCGTTTCCTCACACCTTTAACACCCTCCCCCCACTAGCCCGAACACATACACACGCACTGGGTGGCCTCGTCCGTCTCCCCCCCGACTATGTGCTCCCTCGTGGCCAGTCAGACAGCAAGCCGTGCAGCCGAGCCCTCCTGTGTGCTGTCTTGCCACCCCCATGAACCCCCTTCTTCATACGTCCCCATTATCTACTAGCCCCACTTCCCCATTATCTACTAACCCCACTTCCCCATTATCTACTAACTCCAATTCCCCATTATCTACTAGCCCCACTTCCCCATTATCTACTAACCCCACTTCCCCATTATCTACTAACCCCACTTCCCCTCACTGTCATACACGCACCGTGTTGCCTATTCCGTCTCCCCTCCCACGACTATGTGCTCCCTTGTGACCGTGCCAGACAGCAGTGCGTGCAGCCGAGCCCAGCTGCCATGCGTGGCAATGCGCGCCCATCCATCCCCCTGTATTCCCCATCACTACTTCCCCTTACAGTCACGCACATACCGGGTAGCCTCATCCGTCTCTCCCCCAGCGACTATGCGCTCCTTGGTAACTGGGTCAGCAGACAGCAGAGCGTGCAGCCGAGCCCAGCTGGACCATTTCCCTTACACCTTTATCCTCCCCCCCACCCCACCCTCAACTAGTGGCACCTTCCCCTTACAGTCACGCACATACCGGGTAGCCTCATCCGTCTCCCCTCCAGCGACTATGTGCTCCTTGGTAACTGGGTCGGAGAGCAAGCCGTGCAGCCGTGCCCAGCTGCCAGGCGTGGCAATGCGCGCCAGGTCCGGACTCTGCTTCGGATCCGAGCCGTAGAAGGAGGTCAGGGTGCGACGCAGGTGGTCGGTCTGGTGGGCGGGGTTGGGGAGAAAGGGGTGGTGGATGCATGAGCGAAAAGGGGGATGTGTGCTGTTAGATGATTTCTCTGGGAACTGGGGAATTGGGGAGATGGGTATTGGGAAATTGGGGAGATGGGGACACATGAGGAGGCGAGGCTGACGGTGGATGCAGGGGGTTGGAAGTGCGTGCTTGTGTTTGGATGGCTGGTTGCTGAATGGATAAGGGAACCCAACAAAGGGTGCAGTGGGAGAGTCACAGCCATGGGGATAAGAATAAGCCCAGTCCTAGAGCCAGCTTGAGCTGACTTGACTTGACGCACATTGCTGCTCTCTCCCCCACCCACTCCCATGCACTGTGACTCACGAATTGATCAGCCACAGCCTCCTCCACGAGCACGTAGTCGGGCGACGGCAGCTCTGCAGGTTGACTTGACTTGACTTGACTTGACTTGACTTGCTGCATACTCTAACTCCCATCCACACACGGATCCGGCACTCACGAAATTGATCAGCCACAGCCTCCTCCACGAGCACTTAGTCGGATGACAGGCAGCTCTGTAGCTTTCACTTGACTTGTTACACACTGCTACCACCCAGTCTCATGCAGGGCAGGCACTCACGAATTGGTCGGCAACTGCCTCCTCCACCAGCACGTAATCGGGCGACAGGCAGCTCTGCCCCGCATTCACACACATGCCGAACGCTATCCGCTTCACACAGATCTGAGGCATGGGAGGGAGGGTGGGGGGTGTGCATGGGGGGGAGAGGGTGCGTGGAGGAGGTTGCATGGGGGGGTTTCATGGGAGGAGGGTGCATGGGTTGACAGGCAGCTCTGCTCCGCATTCACACACATGCCGCACGCTGTCCTCTTCACACATATCTGAGGCACGGAAAAGGGGAGGGGGGGAGTTTGAACAGGAAGGGGGGGGGATTAAGTTGCAGGCAGCTCTGCCCCGCGTTCACACACATCCCGATGCGATCCGCTTCACACAAAACTGGCGTGTGCAGGAAGCGGCGTGCGAGAAGGAGGGGGGGAGGGGGGGGAGGAGGGGGGGGGGTTGCATGGGGGGGGATTGGGTGGGGCGTGAGGAGAGGATTGGGGTGCCGAGACCGGGAGTGGAGGGAGGCGCGGTTGAGAGGAGGAGAAGAGGTGATAAAGAAAGGGGCCTCGAAATGGGGCGAGAATGAAAAAGGGGAGAAACGGATTCGAAAGGTGTTGCGAAAAAGTGGGATGACAAGGGGGGTTTTCTGTTTGGAAGAATCAATCACCCAAGCCAGCTGTTCAAGAAACGCTGAGTGACCCTCACCTAACCAGGCCCCTTTTTCCCTCACCTTATGCGGTTTGAGTCGTTGTCCTGAAGCGTAAGCTCCCCACAGCCTACCCATCCTCTTCTATCAAGTAGAACAGAGAGATACTGACATTGAATTCCGCGGAGGTGTCGACGTAACGTAAGCAGGGTGGTTCCCCCTGACCGGGGTTCGAATCAGGGAACTCAAGTTGGCAACGCAACACAAAGCGTCATGATCATGCGAGGCACTGACATTGAAGTCCACGGATCTGTCGATGTAGATAGGATCTGGGCTTCTTGCCTTGCCCCCCAGCTCGAGTGAGATAGGCAGGCGCTAATCAGGGCACCCAGGACAGCGCGTAAAGAAGTGAAACGGCGACTGACATTGAAATCCGCAGAGCTGTCGAGTCGATAATATCGATATAGGCGGGGTTCAGTCACGTCACCCAGGTTCACAACACAAAGCATCATGAGACAAAGGTCCAAGCAGAAGTACGTGAGGTGAGACTGACATTGAAATCCGCAGAGCTGTCGATGTAAGCGGGGTTCTTGCCCCCCAGCTCTAGCGCCACTGGCGTGAGATGCTGCGCTGCTGCTGCCAGCACCCTCCGCCCTATGGACGCTCCTCCTGGGGATACGGGAGATGGGGTGTGGCGGGGAGAAAGACGGGGACGAGGGGAGAAAGGAGGAGGAGGCATTGATGTTGGCAGGGTTCTTCCCCCCCCAGCTCAAGTGCCACTGGCGTGATATGCTGTGCCGCTGCTGCCAGCACCCTCCGTCCGCCCTATCGCTGCTCCTCCTGGGGCGAGGGAGGAAAAGGGGTGGAGGGTAGAGGAGCGAAAGGCAGGCAGGAAGAGGTGAGTAAATCACGTAGCCAAGTGCAGCTCACGTAGCCAAGTGCAGCTCACGTAGCCAAGTGCAGCTCATGTAGCCAAGTGCAGCTCACGTAGCCAAGTGCAGCTCATGTAGCCAAGTGCAGCTCATGTAGCCAAGTGCAGCTCATGTAGCCAAGTGCAGCTCATGTAGCCAAGTGCAGCTCATGTAGCCAAGTGCAGCTCACGTAGCCAAGTGCAGCTCATGTAGCCAAGTGCAGCTCATGTAGCCAAGTGCAGCTCATGTAGCCAAGTGCAGCTCATGCAGCCAAGTGCAGCTCATGTAGCCAAGTGCAGCTCATGTAGCCAAGTGCAGCTCATGTAGCCAAGTGCAGCTCATGTAGCCAAGTGCAGCTCATGTAGCCAAGTGCAGCTCACGTAGCCAAGTGCAGCTCATGTAGCCAAGTGCAGCTCACGTAGCCAAGTGCAGCTCATGTAGCCAAGTGCAGCTCATGTAGCCAAGTGCAGCTCATGTAGCCAAGTGCAGCTCACGTAGCCAAGTGCAGCTCATGTAGCCAAGTGCAGCTCATGTAGCCAAGTGCAGCTCATGTAGCCAAGTGCAGCTCATGTAGCCAAGTGCAGCTCATGTAGCCAAGTGCAGCTCATGTAGCCAAGTGCAGCTCATGTAGCCAAGTGCAGCTCATGTAGCCAAGTGCAGCTCATGTAGCCAAGTGCAGCTCATGTAGCCAAGTGCAGCTCATGTAGCCAAGTGCAGCTCATGTAGCCAAGTGCAGCTCATGTAGCCAAGTGCAGCTCACGTAGCCAAGTGCAGCTCATGTAGCCAAGTGCAGCTCACGTAGCCAAGTGCAGCTCATGTAGCCAAGTGCAGCTCATGTAGCCAAGTGCAGCTCATGTAGCCAAGTGCAGCTCACGTAGCCAAGTGCAGCTCATGTAGCCAAGTGCAGCTCACGTAGCCAAGTGCAGCTCATGTAGCCAAGTGCAGCTCACGTAGCCAAGTGCAGCTCATGTAGCCAAGTGCAGCTCATGTAGCCAAGTGCAGCTCATGCAGCCAAGTGCAGCTCATGTAGCCAAGTGCAGCTCATGTAGCCAAGTGCAGCTCATGTAGCCAAGTGCAGCTCATGTAGCCAAGTGCAGCTCATGTAGCCAAGTGCAGCTCACGTAGCCAAGTGCAGCTCACGTAGCCAAGTGCAGCTCATGTAGCCAAGTGCAGCTCACGTAGCCAAGTGCAGCTCATGTAGCCAAGTGCAGCTCACGTAGCCAAGTGCAGCTCATGTAGCCAAGTGCAGCTCACGTAGCCAAGTGCAGCTCATGTAGCCAAGTGCAGCTCACGTAGCCAAGTGCAGCTCACGTAGCCAAGTGCAGCTCATGTAGCCAAGTGCAGCTCACGTAGCCAAGTGCAGCTCACGTAGCCAAGTGTAGCTCATGTAGCCAAGTGCAGCTCACGTAGCCAAGTGCAGCTCATGTAGCCAAGTGCAGCTCATGTAGCCAAGTGCAGCTCATGTAGCCAAGTGCAGCTCATGTAGCCAAGTGCAGCTCATGTAGCCAAGTGCAGCTCACGTAGCCAAGTGCAGCTCATGTAGCCAAGTGCAGCTCATGCAGCCAAGTGCAGCTCATGTAGCCAAGTGCAGCTCATGTAGCCAAGTGCAGCTCATGTAGCCAAGTGCAGCTCATGTAGCCAAGTGCAGCTCATGTAGCCAAGTGCAGCTCACGTAGCCAAGTGCAGCTCATGTAGCCAAGTGCAGCTCATGTAGCCAAGTGCAGCTCATGTAGCCAAGTGCAGCTCACGTAGCCAAGTGCAGCTCATGTAGCCAAGTGCAGCTCATGTAGCCAAGTGCAGCTCATGTAGCCAAGTGCAGCTCATGTAGCCAAGTGCAGCTCATGTAGCCAAGTGCAGCTCATGTAGCCAAGTGCAGCTCATGTAGCCAAGTGCAGCTCATGTAGCCAAGTGCAGCTCACGTAGCCAAGTGCAGCTCATGTAGCCAAGTGCAGCTCACGTAGCCAAGTGCAGCTCATGTAGCCAAGTGCAGCTCATGTAGCCAAGTGCAGCTCATGCAGCCAAGTGCAGCTCATGTAGCCAAGTGCAGCTCATGTAGCCAAGTGCAGCTCATGTAGCCAAGTGCAGCTCATGTAGCCAAGTGCAGCTCATGTAGCCAAGTGCAGCTCACGTAGCCAAGTGCAGCTCATGTAGCCAAGTGCAGCTCACGTAGCCAAGTGCAGCTCATGTAGCCAAGTGCAGCTCATGTAGCCAAGTGCAGCTCATGTAGCCAAGTGCAGCTCACGTAGCCAAGTGCAGCTCACGTAGCCAAGTGCAGCTCATGTAGCCAAGTGCAGCTCATGTAGCCAAGTGCAGCTCATGTAGCCAAGTGCAGCTCATGTAGCCAAGTGCAGCTCATGTAGCCAAGTGCAGCTCATGTAGCCAAGTGCAGCTCATGTAGCCAAGTGCAGCTCATGTAGCCAAGTGCAGCTCATGTAGCCAAGTGCAGCTCATGTAGCCAAGTGCAGCTCATGTAGCCAAGTGCAGCTCACGTAGCCAAGTGCAGCTCACGTAGCCAAGTGCAGCTCATGTAGCCAAGTGCAGCTCACGTAGCCAAGTGCAGCTCATGTAGCCAAGTGCAGCTCACGTAGCCAAGTGCAGCTCATGTAGCCAAGTGCAGCTCACGTAGCCAAGTGCAGCTCATGTAGCCAAGTGCAGCTCACGTAGCCAAGTGCAGCTCACGTAGCCAAGTGCAGCTCATGTAGCCAAGTGCAGCTCACGTAGCCAAGTGCAGCTCACGTAGCCAAGTGTAGCTCATGTAGCCAAGTGCAGCTCACGTAGCCAAGTGCAGCTCATGTAGCCAAGTGCAGCTCATGTAGCCAAGTGCAGCTCATGTAGCCAAGTGCAGCTCATGTAGCCAAGTGCAGCTCATGTAGCCAAGTGCAGCTCACGTAGCCAAGTGCAGCTCATGTAGCCAAGTGCAGCTCATGCAGCCAAGTGCAGCTCATGTAGCCAAGTGCAGCTCATGTAGCCAAGTGCAGCTCATGTAGCCAAGTGCAGCTCATGTAGCCAAGTGCAGCTCATGTAGCCAAGTGCAGCTCACGTAGCCAAGTGCAGCTCATGTAGCCAAGTGCAGCTCATGTAGCCAAGTGCAGCTCATGTAGCCAAGTGCAGCTCACGTAGCCAAGTGCAGCTCATGTAGCCAAGTGCAGCTCATGTAGCCAAGTGCAGCTCATGTAGCCAAGTGCAGCTCATGTAGCCAAGTGCAGCTCATGTAGCCAAGTGCAGCTCATGTAGCCAAGTGCAGCTCATGTAGCCAAGTGCAGCTCACGTAGCCAAGTGCAGCTCATGTAGCCAAGTGCAGCTCACGTAGCCAAGTGCAGCTCATGTAGCCAAGTGCAGCTCATGTAGCCAAGTGCAGCTCATGCAGCCAAGTGCAGCTCATGTAGCCAAGTGCAGCTCATGTAGCCAAGTGCAGCTCATGTAGCCAAGTGCAGCTCATGTAGCCAAGTGCAGCTCATGTAGCCAAGTGCAGCTCACGTAGCCAAGTGCAGCTCATGTAGCCAAGTGCAGCTCACGTAGCCAAGTGCAGCTCATGTAGCCAAGTGCAGCTCATGTAGCCAAGTGCAGCTCATGTAGCCAAGTGCAGCTCACGTAGCCAAGTGCAGCTCATGTAGCCAAGTGCAGCTCATGTAGCCAAGTGCAGCTCATGTAGCCAAGTGCAGCTCATGTAGCCAAGTGCAGCTCATGTAGCCAAGTGCAGCTCATGTAGCCAAGTGCAGCTCATGTAGCCAAGTGCAGCTCATGTAGCCAAGTGCAGCTCATGTAGCCAAGTGCAGCTCATGTAGCCAAGTGCAGCTCATGTAGCCAAGTGCAGCTCATGTAGCCAAGTGCAGCTCATGTAGCCAAGTGCAGCTCACGTAGCCAAGTGCAGCTCATGTAGCCAAGTGCAGCTCACGTAGCCAAGTGCAGCTCATGTAGCCAAGTGCAGCTCATGTAGCCAAGTGCAGCTCATGTAGCCAAGTGCAGCTCACGTAGCCAAGTGCAGCTCATGTAGCCAAGTGCAGCTCACGTAGCCAAGTGCAGCTCATGTAGCCAAGTGCAGCTCACGTAGCCAAGTGCAGCTCATGTAGCCAAGTGCAGCTCATGTAGCCAAGTGCAGCTCATGCAGCCAAGTGCAGCTCATGTAGCCAAGTGCAGCTCATGTAGCCAAGTGCAGCTCATGTAGCCAAGTGCAGCTCATGTAGCCAAGTGCAGCTCATGTAGCCAAGTGCAGCTCACGTAGCCAAGTGCAGCTCACGTAGCCAAGTGCAGCTCATGTAGCCAAGTGCAGCTCACGTAGCCAAGTGCAGCTCATGTAGCCAAGTGCAGCTCACGTAGCCAAGTGCAGCTCATGTAGCCAAGTGCAGCTCACGTAGCCAAGTGCAGCTCATGTAGCCAAGTGCAGCTCACGTAGCCAAGTGCAGCTCATGTAGCCAAGTGCAGCTCACGTAGCCAAGTGCAGCTCACGTAGCCAAGTGCAGCTCATGTAGCCAAGTGCAGCTCACGTAGCCAAGTGCAGCTCACGTAGCCAAGTGCAGCTCATGTAGCCAAGTGCAGCTCACGTAGCCAAGTGCAGCTCATGTAGCCAAGTGCAGCTCATGTAGCCAAGTGCAGCTCATGTAGCCAAGTGCAGCTCATGTAGCCAAGTGCAGCTCATGTAGCCAAGTGCAGCTCATGTAGCCAAGTGCAGCTCATGTAGCCAAGTGCAGCTCATGTAGCCAAGTGCAGCTCATGTAGCCAAGTGCAGCTCATGTAGCCAAGTGCAGCTCATGTAGCCAAGTGCAGCTCATGTAGCCAAGTGCAGCTCATGTAGCCAAGTGCAGCTCATGTAGCCAAGTGCAGCTCATGTAGCCAAGTGCAGCTCATGTAGCCAAGTGCAGCTCATGTAGCCAAGTGCAGCTCATGTAGCCAAGTGCAGCTCATGTAGCCAAGTGCAGCTCATGTAGCCAAGTGCAGCTCATGTAGCCAAGTGCAGCTCATGTAGCCAAGTGCAGCTCATGTAGCCAAGTGCAGCTCATGTAGCCAAGTGCAGCTCACGTAGCCAAGTGCAGCTCATGTAGCCAAGTGCAGCTCACGTAGCCAAGTGCAGCTCACGTAGCCAAGTGCAGCTCATGTAGCCAAGTGCAGCTCATGCAGCCAAGTGCAGCTCATGTAGCCAAGTGCAGCTCATGTAGCCAAGTGCAGCTCATGTAGCCAAGTGCAGCTCATGTAGCCAAGTGCAGCTCATGTAGCCAAGTGCAGCTCACGTAGCCAAGTGCAGCTCACGTAGCCAAGTGCAGCTCATGTAGCCAAGTGCAGCTCACGTAGCCAAGTGCAGCTCATGTAGCCAAGTGCAGCTCACGTAGCCAAGTGCAGCTCATGTAGCCAAGTGCAGCTCACGTAGCCAAGTGCAGCTCATGTAGCCAAGTGCAGCTCACGTAGCCAAGTGCAGCTCATGTAGCCAAGTGCAGCTCATGTAGCCAAGTGCAGCTCACGTAGCCAAGTGCAGCTCACGTAGCCAAGTGCAGCTCATGTAGCCAAGTGCAGCTCACGTAGCCAAGTGCAGCTCACGTAGCCAAGTGCAGCTCATGTAGCCAAGTGCAGCTCACGTAGCCAAGTGCAGCTCATGTAGCCAAGTGCAGCTCATGTAGCCAAGTGCAGCTCATGTAGCCAAGTGCAGCTCATGTAGCCAAGTGCAGCTCATGTAGCCAAGTGCAGCTCATGTAGCCAAGTGCAGCTCATGTAGCCAAGTGCAGCTCACGTAACCAAGTGCAGCTCATGTAGCCAAGTGCAGCTCACGTAGCCAAGTGCAGCTCATGTAGCAGCTCATGTAGCCAAGTGCAGCTCATGTAGCCAAGTGCAGCTCATGTAGCCAAGTGCAGCTCATGTAGCCAAGTGCAGCTCATGTAGCCAAGTGCAGCTCATGTAGCCAAGTGCAGCTCATGTAGCCAAGTGCAGCTCATGTAGCCAAGTGCAGCTCACGTAGCCAAGTGCAGCTCATGTAGCCAAGTGCAGCTCACGTAGCCAAGTGCAGCTCATGTAGCCAAGTGCAGCTCATGTAGCCAAGTGCAGCTCATGTAGCCAAGTGCAGCTCACGTAGCCAAGTGCAGCTCATGTAGCCAAGTGCAGCTCACGTAGCCAAGTGCAGCTCAGGTAGCCAAGTGCAGCTCACGTAGCCAAGTGCAGCTCACGTAGCCAAGTGCAGCTCACGTAGCCAAGTGCAGCTCATGTAGCCAAGTGCAGCTCACGTAGCCAAGTGCAGCTCACGTAGCCAAGTGCAGCTCATGTAGCCAAGTGCAGCTCATGTAGCCAAGTGCAGCTCATGTAGCCAAGTGCAGCTCATGTAGCCAAGTGCAGCTCATGTAGCCAAGTGCAGCTCATGTAGCCAAGTGCAGCTCATGTAGCCAAGTGCAGCTCACGTAGCCAAGTGCAGCTCATGTAGCCAAGTGCAGCTCACGTAGCCAAGTGCAGCTCATGTAGCAGCTCATGTAGCCAAGTGCAGCTCATGTAGCCAAGTGCAGCTCATGTAGCCAAGTGCAGCTCATGTAGCCAAGTGCAGCTCATGTAGCCAAGTGCAGCTCATGTAGCCAAGTGCAGCTCACGTAGCCAAGTGCAGCTCACGTAGCCAAGTGCAGCTCATGTAGCCAAGTGCAGCTCATGCAGCCAAGTGCAGCTCATGTAGCCAAGTGCAGCTCATGTAGCCAAGTGCAGCTCATGTAGCCAAGTGCAGCTCATGTAGCCAAGTGCAGCTCATGTAGCCAAGTGCAGCTCACGTAGCCAAGTGCAGCTCACGTAGCCAAGTGCAGCTCATGTAGCCAAGTGCAGCTCACGTAGCCAAGTGCAGCTCATGTAGCCAAGTGCAGCTCACGTAGCCAAGTGCAGCTCATGTAGCCAAGTGCAGCTCACGTAGCCAAGTGCAGCTCATGTAGCCAAGTGCAGCTCATGTAGCCAAGTGCAGCTCACGTAGCCAAGTGCAGCTCATGTAGCCAAGTGCAGCTCACATAGCCAAGTGCAGCTCACGTAGCCAAGTGCAGCTCATGTAGCCAAGTGCAGCTCATGTAGCCAAGTGCAGCTCACGTAGCCAAGTGCAGCTCATGTAGCCGAGTGCAGCTCACGTAGCCAAGTGCAGCTCACGTAGCCAAGTGCAGCTCATGTAGCCAAGTGCAGCTCATGTAGCCAAGTGCAGCTCACGTAGCCAAGTGCAGCTCACGTAGCCAAGTGCAGCTCATGTAGCCAAGTGCAGCTCATGTAGCCAAGTGCAGCTCACGTAGCCAAGTGCAGCTCATGTAGCCAAGTGCAGCTCACGTAGCCAAGTGCAGCTCATGTAGCCAAGTGCAGCTCACGTAGCCAAGTGCAGCTCATGTAGCCAAGTGCAGCTCACGTAGCCAAGTGCAGCTCATGTAGCCAAGTGCAGCTCACGTAGCCAAGTGCAGCTCATGTAGCCAAGTGCAGCTCATGTAGCCAAGTGCAGCTCACGTAGCCAAGTGCAGCTCATGTAGCCAAGTGCAGCTCACGTAGCCAAGTGCAGCTCATGTAGCCAAGTGCAGCTCACGTAGCCAAGTGCAGCTCATGTAGCCAAGTGCAGCTCACGTAGCCAAGTGCAGCTCATGTAGCCAAGTGCAGCTCACGTAGCCAAGTGCAGCTCATGTAGCCAAGTGCAGCTCACGTAGCCAAGTGCAGCTCATGTAGCCAAGTGCAGCTCATGTAGCCAAGTGCAGCTCACGTAGCCAAGTGCAGCTCACGTAGCCAAGTGCAGCTCATGTAGCCAAGTGCAGCTCACGTAGCCAAGTGCAGCTCACGTAGCCAAGTGCAGCTCATGTAGCCAAGTGCAGCTCACGTAGCCAAGTGCAGCTCACGTAGCCAAGTGCAGCTCACGTAGCCAAGTGCAGCTCATGTAGCCAAGTGCAGCTCATGTAGCCAAGTGCAGCTCACGTAGCCAAGTGCAGCTCATGTAGCCAAGTGCAGCTCACGTAGCCAAGTGCAGCTCACGTAGCCAAGTGCAGCTCACGTAGCCAAGTGCAGCTCATGTAGCCAAGTGCAGCTCACGTAGCCAAGTGCAGCTCACGTAGCCAAGTGCAGCTCACGTAGCCAAGTGCAGCTCATGTAGCCAAGTGCAGCTCATGTAGCCAAGTGCAGCTCACGTAGCCAAGTGCAGCTCATGTAGCCAAGTGCAGCTCACGTAGCCAAGTGCAGCTCATGTAGCCAAGTGCAGCTCACGTAGCCAAGTGCAGCTCATGTAGCCAAGTGCAGCTCATGTAGCCAACCAAGTGCAGCTCACGTAGCCAAGTGCAGCTCACGTAGCCAAGTGCAGCTCACATGCAGCATACATGTCAAATGCCCACATCCACACAGCAGCACCCATGCCAGAAGCACCCTCATGACTCATCCATCCATCCATCCATCCACGTGTCAGTCAGTCAGCAGCATACCCGTGAAGAATATCTTATCCCATCGACACTCCAGCAGGGCGGTTGCCACGTTAGCACCGCCCTGCACCACGTGGACGGCCTCCTTGTCCACGTAGCGCGGCAGCAGCTCCGCCAGCAAGGCGGACGACGCTGGCGCAAGCTCAGAGGGCTTGAGCACTGCCACGTTGCCTGCTGCTATGGCTCCGATGAGCGGGTCTAATGAGAGCACTGAGGGAAGAAGAGAGGGATAAGTGAGGGGCAGGTGGGGGGCAAAAGTGAGGAGAGAGAGCAAGAACAGCCTTAGCCAGCTCAGAGGGCTTGAGCACTGCCACGTTGCCCGTTGCTATGGCTCCGATCAATGGATCCAGTGAGAACACTGAGAAGGGCGGAGGGGGAGAGGGTTGGCACATGAGGGAAGATCGAGTAAGTTGAGCCTTCACAGCTCAGAGGGCTTGAGCACCGCCACGCTGCCCGCTGCTATGGCCCCGATCAATGGGTTTAGTGAGAGCACTGGGGGGGGCGGGGTGCGGGATGGGCATGAGGGAGGTTGGATGGGGGAGCGCAACAGGGAGAAGGGGGGGGGGAGGTGAGGGGCGAACGAGATTAGAGAGAGCAAGAGAAGCCTGCGCAGCTCAGAGGGCCATTCGAGGACTTGAGCACCGCCACGCTGCCCGCTGCTATGGTGCTGATGAGCGGGTCTAAGGAGAACACTGGGGGGGTGAGGGAGGGGCACGTGGGGGTTGGGTGGAAGGGGAGAGGGAAGTGAGGGGCAAGTGAGGGGCAAGTGAGAGAGGTTAGAGGGAGTGAAGGCTGAGCTGGCCTGCTCAGAGGGAGGACTTGAGCACTGCCACGTTGCCCGCTGCTATGGAGCCGATGAGCGGATCCAGTGAGAGCACTGGTGGGATAGAGGCATGTGGGGGTTGCGTGGAAGGGGAGAGGGAAGTGAGGGGCAAGTGAGGGGCAAGTGAGGGGTAAGCTGGGTGGGTAAGTGGGGCGGGTCAGGGAGTGGAGAGTGGTGAAAGGCAGTGGAAATGGTTGGGTTGGGGGGTCAACGGGTAGCTTGAGCACAGAAGAGCATGGCTTACAGAAGGACATGTTTTCATGGAAGATGAGATGTTTCAGGTCTCTCTTACGGAAGGGCATGTTCCCATAGTAGCTGAAAGGCAAACGGGGGGGCTCACTCACAGAAGGGCATGTTCCAGGCAGCGAAGATGAGGACGGCTCCAAAAGGCTCCGGGATGATCTCACTGCGCGCTGGTATGTTGACAAAGTTGGTGGACACCTGGCAGGCGTGGATTGGCAGAGCCGGGGCGAGATGTGGGTGCAAGCGTGCAGAGGACGAGGTGGGAAGAGTTGAAAGTGAGAGGAGAGCACAGTGCAGAGGGGCGTGGCATGGCATGGGAAGGCATGGGAAGGGATGACATGACATGGGAAGGCATGGCATGACATGGCATGGCAGGCATGGCATGGCATGATGGCATTGCTCACCTGTTCGGGCTTCATCCACTGTCGTAGACTGCTGGCCGCCTGCCTCGCTGACTGGTACACCTGCGCCGTCTGCCACACCAAGGAGTGGTGATGTGGGTGGGTGGGTGTATGAGCGTGGGTGGGTGGGTGTATGAGCGTGGGTGGGTGGGTGTATGAGCGTGGGTGGGTGGGTGTATGAGCGTGGGTGGGTGGGTGTATGAGCGTGGGTGGGTGGGTGTATGAGCGTGGGTGGGTGGGTGTATGAGCGTGGGTGGGTGGGTGTATGAGCGTGGGTGGGTGGGTGTGATATGAGGGTAGGTGTATGCGTGTGCAGTGCATGTGCGTTAACAAGAAGAGTAGAGCGGGGATAACAGGTTACAGGACACGTGAAAGGGGAACCGAGCACAAGCGGACGCTCTTCCCTTCAACGCATGCCCTAAGCCTTCACGAGCGGACCGGACGGACATGGGACACGGAAAGGTCAGGTCAGACTGCTGCTGACTCGCAAAGCAAGGCGACTAGACGAGGCGAGGCGAGGCGCGGCGAGGCGCGGCGAGGCGCGGCGAGACGAGGCGAGGCGAGGCGATTGATGATTCCTAAAAAATGAACACACCTGCCATCAGGCTCGACATTGCATCCCCAGAACCCCTTTCCCCTTCCCCAGAGCCACTCGGAGCCACAAGAAGAGGCAATTCGAGCCAATTGGCTCAAAAAGCTTTTGATTGCCGTCTCTAGATCCTGAACTCTCCTGCTTAGAGAGTTCTGAAGCCAATTGACTGCACTGATGAAGGCCCGATAAGGTATGCCCTTCGGCCGAAATGCTTATGCCCTTCCGATAGGGGAAGATGTCAGACGATCTACTTAGAGCTTTCTGGAGCCATTTGACTGCGATTGCCGCGTTCAAGAATTTTGGAACCCGTTTAATTGGCTCAGATAAAGGGTCGGTCGACATCCATTTCTTTGATCTCCCAAGCTTCTTTCTTCCCAAGAATTCGGAATTCTCAACGCGGCAGAGTGTGATAGCTCTGACCCTGACAACTAAGGATCGAAACTTGATTCGCGGCTTCGCTTGAGGTCTTTCGCGAGCGCTGCGAAGATCGCCTCCTCCTCGTCCATCATCAGCCGCTCGATCCCTCGCAGCTGCGTCTCCCGCCATTCGCGAGATCGCGTGCGACCGCTGCGAAACACCTCTCGCACGCTAGCGACGAGTTCCGCCGCATCCTTGCTTCCGAACGACCCTTCGCTGGATGTTTCCGGTGCTGTAGTCGGCATGGTTGACAGGTCTACGGCGACCGATCTTATCGCGGACACGGACGTGCTTGCAGAACGACTACTAGAACTGCTAGACGAGACGGAAATCACGCCGCTAGGGTTCTTTTCAGCACGAGAACGAGACAATCTCGGTTCGCGGAGCAGACGAAGCTCGCTCTGCTTGGAACGTCTAGCCGCAGCGGTTGCGGGAAGCAAAAGTGAAGATGAAACTGAAAGCAGTTTTGTTTGGCCATGGCAGCAGTTGTCGCAATTGTTGCAGAATTTCCATCCCGACCCGACCGAAAAGTCCAACTGAGGGGGAGGTGATATAAACGAGGGGGCGCGCGATCAAAGCGAAGGGTCGGGCACAAGTCAAGGAATTTGTCTCCACTGCCCAGATTGCCGGCAGAACAGGCATTCAGCGAGGTGAGCCACGTTGGAGAATATTGACAACGAGGGTCCACTCTGGCCCAGTGACTAGGTTCTGTTGAAGTATGCTCTCCACGTGCTGGCTTCAGAGTGGTCAGGTACAGAATTGTGTCCTACAGCAAAATGAACGAAGCCCTCGTCATATCGAAAGGTCGCACTCGATACTGGATACAAAGCCATTTAATACAGAACAACAGCATAAGTTTAGCACAACAGATGGCTCTGATTCAGAACACACACATATAAATCCTGTAGGCCGCCTAATCCATATGTTGTTATAATTACCAACTGTAGCATGCAAAATGTTACTAATATTAACCAGTTTGGAAGGCACAGCTTCCAAAAACCAGCACTTTCAGTCACTGAGTTGCACAATGACATGACGCAGGTCCTCCCGTGCCATAAAATCTCATCTTGTGCTGCTTGTGAGATGCAAAAGCATCTGAAAAAAAAAGGGATAAGAGACCAGCGGCAAATGAAGGGAGACTAGAATGAGTGATCGAGAGAGGCACAGAGGAGACCAGGGAGGAGACTGGGAGTGGGGACAAAGAGAAATGTAAGCAGCAGGACGACTAAGAGTGAAGGGAGAGGGAGAGAAGAATGAAAGATGAGGCCAAGAGTTTGAGAAAGTGGTGAGGGAAAGAAGGAAGGAAGAATGCTTGTGAGAACTGTGATATACAATCTCTGCAGCTTTTCTGCTTTCTTTGAATTACTGTGGCATCCTAACATGGGGTAAATGGTCGCTGGCAAAGCAACGGAACCAGGTGCTGCAGGAAATCCAGGAACAAAATCAAGGTTATGCGAACAAAAGCGGAACAAAGTTGAAAGACACCTTGACATAAAATCACAAATGACATAAAACCCACAAAACGAAACTCACCATGATTGGCACATTGTTGCATGGTAATGTCAACTGCAGTATGGTCTGTCAGCTTGTGAGGTCCACACCAGTGAGCATCATGTAGTTACGCTCTCTTGCTGTCACCACGTATGCCCCCCCTTGCCCAGCTGTGCGGTCGTGATTCCTCCAGCAGAGGCTCTAATCCAACCATGTGTTATCCTCACTACTATTGGACCACGAATACGCTTCGTCTCCATCAAACCACGAAGTTCCAACTCTTTGATGCGGTAGCATCTCAAAGTGAATGTTGAGCGCCCTCCAAATCTCACTTGTCTGCTCCAATCCCGTAAATTCATCGCGATCGCCCTCCAACACTCTCGCGGTCCTTAGATGCTGACAATCTCGAAACACATTTCTCCCGTACAAGCCCGGGCACGCGATGATCATGAGCGACTTGAGGTTACAGAGTCTGGTCATGGATTCAGGCAAGGTTCGCAGATTCGGCCAAGAAGACAATGTCAACCGTTTCAAGCCTGAAAGGTTTCCAATCTGCTGCGGAAGTTCGGAGAGGCAAGGAAAGCCGAACAGGTAGAGGGTCGAGAGTCTGGGGAGTTGGCAAAGGGATGCCGTGAAGTCTTTAGTGAGATGCACCCGACCTGCCTTGTCCCTGACCTTGCAGCTGGTTGGCCAACCAAACTCAAGTGTTCTGAGTTTGCTGCAGTGCTGAAAAAGAGATGGGCTGACTTTTCGGATGTTGTTGCACCGCTTCAAGGAGAAAGTCCGAAGAATGGACAGCCCTAAGATTGAATTTGGAAGGTTAGCAAGATGTCTTAACTTGCACAGCTCCAGATGCTTGAGAGGCGGCATGCGACCTATGGTATCGGGGAGGAGGTCAAGCAAACTGCACCTTTTGATCACAAGGCGACGGAGGTTGAAAAGGTTGCTCATGGAGTCAGGAAGCCAACAAAACTTCCTGCAATTGTGGATGGTGAGTTCCTCGAGCGAAGTGAGAGATAAAACCGCGTTTGGAAGGGACGAAAAGTCTTCACACTTTCGCAGCACAAGGATTCGTAGAGAAGGAAGCTGAAAGAAGGAACCTGGCAGCTTGTAGATGTATGTGGTGTATTTGAGGTGAAACTCTTGAAGGTTCTGAAGCTGGCTGATGGTCTCAGGAGTGCCAGACAGCCATTCCATGCTAATAATGCTGAGTCTAGCCAGCGAGGAGAGCCCACTGATTGAGTCGGGTAAATGGTCGAGGCCCTCAATCCCTGATAACTGTATCTGGGTCAGTCCGGTGAGTTGACCAAGAGAAGTTGGAAGTTCGACACAGTTCAGGCACCTAAACATCATGGTCTTAAGGAGAACAAGCTTGTCAAACTGGTCTAGAAAGTTGACGATCCCAGCTTTAATATGAACGTATGTTAAAGGCAGGGAGAAGAAAGACAGTGGGAGACAGTCGATGGTTCCGTAGAGCTGTAGGGAAAGGTGCTGCAAGCTAGTGCAAAAAGTGAACAGTGCGTCCAATCCAGCTTCCGTTATCCTGGCGCCTGGCGATGGACCCCCAAACAACAAGACGGGTCGAGATTCGTGGAGGTCAAAGTATGTTAAATTGGGACAGGTAGAACCAAGGCCGATAAGGAACTCGTCACTGAAATCGCTATTCCTACGTCTGTCAATCGTCAACGACGTCAGTTCCTGGAACCGCGACAAGGATCGAAGAAGGCGGACAGTTTCGGTAGGGCGACCAGAAACATTCGAGATGACCGTTTGCGTGAGACGAGCGAGATGGAGCCATCGCTTGCAAACCACAGCGTGGTTGAGTGATGGCTGGTTCAACAGACGAAAAATGAGGCAAATGAGGTCGTCTGATAGTAGATCTAACGACTGTCGCGGCGACATGAAACTACGTCGAGACGAGGTCCATTGGTCGCGAACCCAGGTTCTCGACGCTAGATCTCTTCCAGACCAAGACATTGTTCAAGCGTTTCAGTAACACTATGCTAAACTGAACTATATCCGTAAGAGGCAGGGGAATCTGATGCTGCTCGTAGGAATGGCTTAGAAAACGAAACGAATTCACTTCTTCTGCTCAACGTTTGCACATAGCCTCAGCTTTGCCTACGTCCACGATACTCCGTCTATGAGCCCTCTGACGGCTAGCGATACGGCTCCGTTTAAATGCTTCTGCTGGACTATGAGCGAACTGGAGCCTCGAATCTGCTTTGCAGTGGAGAACCCGTAATGGCTAGTTCTCACGTTCATAGGCTTGGTTTGTTCCACAGGAAACGATTTCCCGCGCCTTGTTTTGCATTTTCGGTTACCGCCTTTTGAATTTGGTTTTTGTGGGGAAGGACCATTTCGCGCTCATCGGCGAAGTTGGCTTTCCCGCCACTACGTCTGGTTACCACACGACCTTCGGTTTGGAATCTTCCGCTTTGAACCCCAAAACGGATTCGTTGAATTTCAGAGCGAGGCAGGTGTGCGAAGGCCCAACCGTGCAAGCCTTGGACCACTCAAGCTGCATCGTCGAACTGTCACGAAAAATACGAGGTAGAAAATGCAGTTTGCA